CATCTTTTTCGTAGACGTTCATTTGCATCACATCATGTTCGACCAACCTCGACCCGAGAAGCCAATGGGATTCGCTCTACAAATACCATCAAATCCCAATTTTCTAGATACCAGATCAGCCCTATCACCGGTAATCTAGCTTATCAGGGGACTGTAGATATCAAAATTCAAAAAGTTATTATTTTATTTGTCTGTCAGCATATTTCGCTCATCAAGTTCTAATAGCGTATATCAAACAAAGATAGGAAATGAGAGTGCAAAAAGTACGCGTAACATCTCCATGGCTTCATTTTACCTTCTGGCTATTTTTTGAGATAAATGACAAGAATGTTTAATTAGAATGACTTTGTGAGGTTACTATCACAACTTTGCCTAGAAACTTTCTTTCTTTTTATATTAATGCAGATATTTCCAGAGTAATCAACGCATAGCTATAAAAATAGAGGCTGCCAGTTTTGTACCAAAAGGTTACGAGTGAGACAAAAAAGTTGTTTACAATTATTTTAGTTTTATATATACATCATAAATAACAGTTACTAGTAATATAGAAAAAATTGTTTGTCTAGAGAAGGTAGGTCTTCTAGGGGTTGTACCGAAAAAAAAAACAATTAAAGCTATGCTAGAGTTTGATGCAATAATAATTGCAATGGAGAATGACATACACACATAATTCTATTAGTTATACCTGAAAAATATATAAATTTATACATTTTTGCCGCTACTGAATATAAATAAACTTGGCCGCCAGCTAAAAGTGATTTTGTCCTAATTGCAATGCGAGGACAATAACTTTGCTTTGCTTTCTGCGCCATTGATATTTTAAAGGAGAAGAAGTCTTTTGGAGACTTTGATCAGATTTGAAAATTTTATGATTTCAGGTCAGCTCTCTGACAAAAAAATATTGAATCACTATATATCTGTTTGTTTGTGCTTGTGAATGTCCAATGATAAGCATGAGAAAGTGTCCGACTTTGTTTCACATTCAATGCTGAATGAGTTATCTTTTGAAGAAGTATAGATTCAGGAACAGCCAAACATGGGTGAATGTGATTAGTTTCAGAAATTAGGAGTTTCGACATTTTATATATTCAAAGAAGGAAAGCACATTCCCTTTGTAGCATTTATGCAATGGAAAAAGAAAAAGATTGAGAAACCAAAAAATAGACAAAACCAGAGAATAAAAATGAAGAGAACAACAAAATACAATAAATAAAATAGTGCTTTCAATAGGAACAGTGCTTTGCATTTCTGAACTTCAGCTATTGAAGGATTAAGAGCCAGAGGATTAGTTTTGTTCCTTTAACCTAAAGTGAGGTTTCAAATTGCAATCAGATTAGTCAATTGTGGTGATTTCTTTCTTCTCTTTTTCCAAAGTACTATTTTATTTCATTTTGGGAGATGCTTCCTTCTCAATATTCAACTAAACTTTTTACCGATTCTAAAGTTGTGAAGAGGGTGTCCAGATTGGATCATAAAATTGAAATCCCATATCAAAATAGATGAGAACTGAGTACTATTTTTATGCTTAAATCACATTCAGAAATAGTTTTGAACCTTTGAATTCACTATAAAATGTAAACTAATGTCTAGTTATAATAGCATAGCTCACAAATGAAATTAATAAACACAAACTTGGATTTCTTTTATTTTTGGGAGATACTATCAGCGAAATCCTATAGCGGGCAGCAAAAAGATAACCCATTTCATACCTGACATTTACAGAACATGGGTTGACCTATATAATCCATCANCAACCAGTATTAATATAGGGCGGCTTGGGTTTAATCCATTGTGTCCAACCTGTTTACAACACGCCCAGAGCCAATCCACCCCAACCCGCCCATTTGACAGCACTATGCATCACCAACAAATAAATGACAGATCTTTCATACAAGACAAACCCATCTTAAGGTTCCTAATATTGGCATTCGACACACGTCTCACCAAGGTGGATTAGTTGCATCTTATTCATAGCGACGAGGTTTCTTCACTACTAAACTACCTCCTTAACTTGGATGACAAATTTGTCTTTATCGACTAGAAAAATTCAAACTTGGAGAGATATGAGACTTCAAAAAAGAAAAAAGATTAACAAAATCGGACAACAGCAGTACAACACAACAGTTTTGACTTTATCAATCATTGTAGTATATGCGCATTAATCAATCAAAAGAAAAAAAAACATTTTTGACTTGAAAAGTATCCGTTGCTCCCATCCCAATCAAATATTAGCAAAATTCAAACTACAATTTTGAATTTAACAGAAAGTCTTAGATATTTCCAAAATTTGATAAGCATTTAACAGCTAGCAAGCAGATGGTTCGCTACCACGGTTGATAATGTTGACTGGGTAATTAAATTATTGATTAGGAACGTGTACTTTAATTTACATCTAAAACTCGTCTGCTTTCGATTTTTCCTAATTTATGCTCTTAATATATAACAGCGATCAGCCAAGCATAATTTTGAGGTGAATTCTCATTTTGTTATTGAATTTGATGAGCCTATCTTCTCTTCAATTTTTCAAATGCCAATAAGATATTGAAACTATTGTTAGACAAACATAAGCGCGCGATATTATGAGTATTCACACATGCAATATTTCTCTTTAAATATTCTGTAGCCATTCAAGTTTTACTCTTTTCACACACACGCACAAAATATGTAAGTAGGTAAAGACGAACATTTTCAGGACTATTTTATAGTTTATTTATCAGGTTTAATTTAGAATTTACAATAATCACACTGTGCATATAAATGTTTTTCATACTACAATTCAGTAGATAAAAATTAAACTCACTCTTCACTAGATATATTAGGTTATAAATGCTTAAAGTTTTACTTGTTAATAGTTAACTTTTAATTTGATAATATAATGGTGGGTGGGGTTGTAACGACCCGACCGGTCGTTTTGAGCTCTAGCGCGTCGTTTAGCAGTTTGAGGCCATGAGCAGCTTCACTTCAGGTATTATGACTTGTGCGCATGGTCGGAATTGAATTCCGGGAAGTTCGGAGTTGATTTGGAAAGAGAATTCTCATTTCGGAATCTTTAAGTTGAAAGAATTGACTAAGATTGGATTTTTGAGTAAACGACCTCGGAGTCGGGGTTCAGAGGTTCCAACAAGTTCGTATGATGATTTCGGACTTGGGCGTGTGTCCGGAATGGGTTTTGGAAGACCCGGGAACGTTTCGGTACCTATTGTGGAAGTTAGCATTTTTGGAGGAATTTCATAAGTTTGGGTTGAAGTGCATTTCAGTGTTATCAATGTCCGTTTGGGATTCCGAGTCTGCGAATAGCTCCGTATGGTGATTCCGGTGTTGGGAGCGCGATCGGAAGTGAATTTGGAGGTCCGTGGGTCATTTTGGAGTCAATTGGCTAAAGATAGAAATTTAAAGGTTTTGGGAAGTTTGACCGAGAGTTGAGTTTTTGATATCGGGGTCGGGTTCCGATTCCGGAAGTTGGAGTAGGTCTGTAATGTCAAATATGACTTGTGTGCAAAATTTGAGGTCAATCGGACGTGATTTGATAGGTTTCGGCATCGAATGTTGAATTTTGAATTTCTCAAGTTCATCAAGTTTGATTTGGGGTGTGATTCGTGATTTTAGCGTTGTTTGATATGATTTGAGGCCTCGAGCGAGTCCGTAATGTGTTTTGGGACTGGTTGGCATGATTTGTCGGGGTCCCGGGGGCCTCGGGTGGATTCCGGGTGGTTAACAGATCGAGTTGGAATTTGAAGAAGAAGTGATCAGCTGCCTTCTTCTGTAACCGCACCTGCGAGGCTTGGGCCGCAGGTGTGGGGCCGCAGAAGCGGCCCTTGGGTCGCAGAAGCAGAAATGGGCTGGCCAGGCTGGGACCGCAGATGCAGTCGATTTGTTGCAGATGCGTGACCGCACCTGCGGAAGGAGAAGCGCAGATGCGGAAGCTGAGGCTAGGAGGAGGACCGCAGAAGCGGATGGTAGCTCGCACCTGCGGAACCGCAGAAGCGGTCAAGTGACCGCAGGTGCGGAAATGCTGGAATCAGTAAGGTTGTTTAAAACGGGGGTTTAGCTCATTTCAACCCCATTTTCTTCATGGGAGCCGATCTTTGGACGATTTTGGAGCTCCATCTTTGTCATCCATGTCAAGGTAAGTGGTTTCCACTAGTTTTGAGTTAAATACTTGGATTATATATGGATTAGAGCATGAAAATTAGTGAGAATTATGGGTTTTTGGTGGAAGACCTAGAAAATTATACGAAAAAGGGCCAAAAATACCCCTATTGTATGTTAAATGGTTTATAAAAGCCCTCCGTCCATCTATCCGTCTGAAAATATATAGGACGTTATTTCTATTTTCAAATTTACCCCCACGACTAAGAGAATTCCATGTGTGCATCTCATTAACTGATGTGGCATTATTTCATATGTCCACGTGGGTCAGTGGGGCTAATATTATATTTGGGTATTTTTTTACCCATTAAACCGATCCGACCCATTCCTTTTACCTATGGGTCAGTCTTTTAACCCTAAACCTACCGACAAAACATTCATTTTTACCATTTCTCTCATTTCTTCTATCTAAACTATCAATGGCGATTTTAGGGCTTCTTTTGGGTTCATGGTTTGGTCCGATTTGGTGCGCTCAAAACAGGAAGACCTTTGATTTCCAGCGATATCTTGCATTATTATTCGAATAAAGTAAGTATTTACAGCTTAAAGTTATTAAATTGTAGGGTTGGGGAATATTTGGGAACTGACTGGTTTATGTCTGCTGCATGTGATGTTTTTATGTTTTCTGTGCTATTTTTGTACCTTTCTAGAATTTTTTATGTTACTTTTGTTTTTGATGGTCCTTATCGTATTGGTCCTACATATTAAAGCTAGGATTTTTGTCGATTTGTATTTTTAATTGATGGTGGGGTTTCATATCTTTATATTTTTATTGTCGCTTTGTATTATATTGCTATTGTGGTCCCATTTTGCCCCTTTTTATTGTTGTTGCATGTGATATTATCCGAAGGATGGTGGATAAAGTACACTTATATTTTAACTATGGGGGTGAGTGGGTATTGGAACCTACGTTGTCTTATACTAAGAGAGATGTGCACGTGTTGAGTGGTTATGAAGTAGACCATCTCTCTTATATTGATTTGTGTAAAGAATACACTGAAGTGATCGGATATGTTGAGGTACAACAGTTGATATTTCTTGACCCTTTTGGGAGGTATTTTTTGTTAGATGGGGATGAAGGGATTAGGAAAATTCAAGCCCTAATTAATGATGGTTTCACTGATGTACAATTATTTGGTGTTGACCTGTTGGATGATACTGTAAATGTTCATGTATTTATCCAGTTTACAACAGCAATAGATAGTGTACCTGTTGCTGTAGCTTCTGACTGTGATAGTAGTGAAGATGATACAGATATTGAAAGTGTTGATAGTGATGCCCTAGGTTTATTTGAGAGGCAGAAGAAGTGTGAGGTAACTGACCAACTTGATAGGTATAAAACATTGGAAAAAGGTATGACTTTCAAAGATCTTGCTGAAGCTAAGGAGGTTATTGGTTATTATGCTGTGTCTAATAAGAGGGGCCTTCAGGTAGATAAGAGTGATAGGAGAAGACTTAGATACAAGTGTCAGATTGGGTGTCCCTTTAAATGTTTTATTTCTAAGGATGGCAAAGATCAAGGGATAAAGATAAAAACCTGGAGGGATGAACATGACAGTGGTGAAGTCTTTGAGAACAGAAGAGCTACTCCTGCTGCTTTAGCACATTATTTTAAGAGAAAGATTCAAAATAATCTTAAGTTTAAGATTAAAGAGATGAAGGTTGATTTAGAGGATAGATTTAGTTTGAATGCGAGTGACTCAAAGTTAAAAAGGGTAAAGAGAATGGTTTTAGAGAAATTGGAGGGCAGTTACTTGGATGAGTACAACAAATTGGAGGCATATGCTCAAGAGTTGAGAGAAACAAACCCTGGTACTGATATGGTGATACAGATATCTAAGGATGCAATGGAGGAAGGTAAGAGAAGATTTTTGAGGATGTATGTCTGTTTCCAGGCCCTCAAGAGTGGATTCAAAGCAGGTTTGAGACCTTTTATAGGTCTAGATGGAACATTTTTAAAAGGCAAATGCAAAGGGATGTTGTTAGTTACTGTTGCTCAAGATTCTTGCAAGCATGTGTATCCACTAGCTTGGGCTGTAGTGGATAAGGAAACAAAGAGAACCTGGCAGTGGTTCATGGAGAATCTGAAGGCTTCTTTGGACTTGAATGATGGTGAAGGGTATACATTCATGTCAGATATGCAGAAGGTATGTTACCATATGCTCAGAATTTTTACATTCAGCAGATTTTTACATTTAGCACATTCTTTGTTAATGTAGTGTTTCTTCATGTGAAGGGTCTATTAGATGCTGTGAGGAATGTATGTCCACAATCATATCACAGATATTGTGCAAGGCATATTGAAGCAAATTGGAGCAAAAAATGGAATACTGATGAGATGAAAAAGTTAATGTGGTGGTGTTTTTGGAGCACATATGAGGAGGAATTTAAGGACATGTTGAAACAGTTAGGTGAAGTGTCTGAGGATGCTGTCAGGGACTTGCTGAATTATCCTCCAGTAACCTGGTGTAGAGCTTACTTTGATACCCAATGTAAGAACCCAATGGTGGACAACAACTTTACAGAGTCCTTCAACTCTTGGATTCTTGAAGCTAGACATAAGCCAATTGTGAAGATGCTTGAGGATATAAGAGTGAAGGTGAAGTTAACTACTTCGACTAACTGCTTGTTTACTGATTAAATACTGTTTTACTACTGTTGATTAACTACTGATTTACTACTATTGACTAACTACTATGTTACTGATTTTATACCGTTGATTAACTACTGATTTACTATGTTACTGATTAACTATTGAAGGTGATGAATCAATTAAAGGATAGAGCAGAAGAAGTTAACAGTTGGAGAGGTGAATACATTACTATGTTACTGATTAACTATTGAAGGTGATGAATCAACTAAAGGATAGAGCAGAAGAAGTTAACAGTTGGAGAGGTGAATACAGCCCATATGCAATGGAGCATACAATGATTATAGAGAGATGGCTTCAAAGTGCAAGGAAAATTTCAATGGAGAAAGGGGTTTTGAAATAAGTGAAGGTGAAGACAGGTACACAGTGATTCTAGAGCAACAAAGGTGCACATGCAGACTTTGGGACTTGTTTGGAATCCCTTGTGCTCATGCTATCAGGGCATTCTTATATAAGAAACAAGACCCAACACTTGGGATTCACTGGTGGTATTCCAAACAAGCCTGGCAGTTGGTGTATCAGCACAAACTGCAGCCCGTTAGAGGTGAAAGATTCTGGAAAGTTGAGCCACACCAAGCCATGGATCCACCACCATTAGCAAAAATGGTTGGTAGACCTAAAGTGAAAAGGTCAAGAGAGAAGGAGTAAGCTAGGAAAAGGCAAGGACAATGGTCAACATCTAAGAAGGTACTTCAGATGACTTGTAGTTTTTGTGGCAAGCCAAACCATAATAAAAGAAGTTGCCATTAGCCAACAAGGTATACTTTCAATCTATTGTTTATACTTACAATCTGTTTTTTTTACTCACAAGATAACATGTATATTTGATTATAATTACAGTCAAAGAAAGTGCAAGACCACACTCAGACAAATGAAGACCAAGAATCAGAATTTTTTATGGTCCCTACTCCAGGTTTTAAAGCACAAGACCAACAATCCAGTCAGAACACTCAGCAGCCAACTCAGCCATCCAGTCATGACAATCAGCATCCAAGTCAGCAATCCAATCTCTACACTCAGATGCCAACTCAGCACTCCAGTCATGACACTCACCAGCCAAGTCAGCAATCTAATCTCTACACTCAGATGCCAACTCAGCACTCCAGTCATGACACTCAGCAGCCAAGTCAGCAATCCTGTAATGACACCCAGGCAACTGAGATGCCAAGTCAAAATATTCAGACCAGAAGAAGGCTTATTCAAGCAGACTTTGGTGCAGAAGCTGACCCAGTTTTGAGGCCTAAGGTTGTGTCTGATATTAAGACTAGACTTCAGCGTAGGAATCAACAAAATTCTGGGACTAGGAAGATACCATTCACAGTTGATCACACTGGTAGCTCATAACCAACAAAACTGCCATACTCCCCAAAGAGAAATACCTGGAAGGGGAAGGAAGCAATGACAACAACTCAACTGTTGGGTGTGAAAGAGAAAAAGATTGGCGAACTTAAAGCTAGAAGAGGCAAGGGGAGGGGCAAAGGGGAGTAGTGTAGCAAGAAATAATGAATGTAATATACATTAAAGTCCTTTTTTGCATGATTGTTCGAGTACATGATGTTTGTTTATGTTCTAGGTTTTTAGACAAGTAAATGTTGTGACAGTGGTATAGGTTTTTGGATCACACATTTACTTGTCTAATAGCAATGTTTTGTTAGGCTTAAATCTTGAAACAATGTATATTTGCTACTCGATTAATGGCAATGTTCTTCTTGTCTATCTTGTCTATCTATAAGAGATATTTCTATTGCATGTGCATTTACAAATGCAAAATTAAAATATTGTATGAGAGTGAAGAGAATGGTAACAAACTTCATTTCATACCAACAGAGAACCATTACAAATGCAGAATTACAAAATCAGAACCTAATACATAAACATCTGCAAACTTCATATTTCAATTTTGTAGTTCAACTTCAAACTTCATCAAAACCTAATACATAAACTTCAAACTTCTGCAACATAACATAACTACAACATAACATAACTACACTACATCATCTTGAAAACTAGTACTAACACAAAGACAATCCAAAAAAACACAATAAACAACTTCATATTTTGTAGTTGAGCCTCCATCCTAGCAACCTTCTCTAAATTTGCTGAATTAATTCCCTCGACCTCTTCCTTTAGTTTCTCCATTTTCAGTCTTTCAGCAGAAACAACATCTTCCAAGTTAGCCACCATCTTCTTCAGATAATTTCTTTCAACTTCCACTGACTTCAGTGAAGTATTCAAGTTATGGATTAGCATCGTCACATGTGGTGGCATCTCTTCATCCCGTCATTCCTACAAACCACATGAAGAGGCCTCGTCAAAACGAGGGCATTTGTAGAATCGACGACCACCGTTCAATTGAGTCTTAGCCACAAAATAATTTGCAGTTAAACCACAACCACAACGACGCGACGAACCAGAAGAGATAGAATTGTCAGACATTTGTATTTTTTCTTATTCAATAAAGGCGGAACTTTTACATCCAACCACAAGATTCGAAGAAAAAGACAAGATTTAATTAGTTGTTTGGGGAAGAAGAAAGGGGAATATGAGAACCTGATGACCTAGGTTCTAAATTGGGGAAGAAGACGAGTAAAAAATGTGGGTTTAGGGTTAAAAGACTGACCCATAGGTAAAAGGAATGGGTCGGATCGGTTTAATGGGTAAAAAAAATACCCAAATATAATGTTAGCCCCACTGACCCACGTGGACAAATGAAATAACGCCACATCAGTTAATGAGATGCACACATGGAATTCCGTTAGTCGCGGGGATAAATTTAAAAATAGAAATAACGTCCTATATATTTTCAGAGGATAGATGGATGGGGGGCTTTTATAAACCATTTACCATACGATAGGGGTACTTTAAACCTTTTTCCGAAAATTATATTTTGGATTTTTACCTCGATTTTGGACATGAAATTAAGAGTAAATTATATATTTGAGTTCGTGAGGTTATGGGTAAAGTTTATCTTCGAAAAATTTCGGAATCCGGGCACGTGGGCCCGATGGCATTTTTGTCAACTTTTCGATCGGGGTTAGGAATTGTTATAAATTGGATTATTATGAGTAATTGAACATATATTAATGGATTTGCGCGATTATTGGCTAGTTTTGGAGCATTGTGCATCAATTTAAGTCTTCGAAAGGGTGTGGAAAGCCGGTAATGGAACTTCGGAGCGAGGTGAGTCTCCTTTCTAATCTTGTAAGAGGGAATTGTCCCCATGGGTGAGTTAATTGGTTATGTGCTCCTATTTGGGGGGCTACGTACGCACGAGGTGACGAGAGTCCGTGCGTATCTACTATTATGCTTAAGTCCGGGTAGTCTAGGACCCAAAAGCATGTTTTACTTGTAATATTTGAAATCTTGTTGTCAATTTGAAATGCTTAAAACAATTGAAATGTATAAAAGAATTTATAAAAGCTAGACATTCGTTTCTTTACTTTTAAAAAGATAGTTTTCTTTTTTTTTGGATGATTGATTCCCTGATGGTTTCTTGATTGACTGTTTGGAGTGTTTATTTAAATTTGACCGCGTCGCATGTATGATTCGCGAGCGGGGTAATAGATGCATCTATGGTTCGTGCCATTCGACCCTCTGACAGTGCACAGTTTAAATATTATCGGATCGGGCCGTACGTCCTCGGCATGATTTGCGCATGCTTGTATTGCGTGCCTTGTAATCTACTGAAGTTGATATTGCTTCTTTCCGTCTTGAGAATATATGTATAAATGATGAAAAAAAAGGAAATGGGATTTTCATATAAAAGAAAGAATTGTTTACTTGCTTTACTCTATTGAATTACATTCAAGCTTATGTAAACCCTCGACTTGTTATATTATTGATGTATCATCATTGGACCACTAGTAAGTGTCGAAGTCGACCTCTCGTCTCTACTTCTTCGAGATTAGGCGAGATACTTACTGAGTACACGTTGTTTTCGTACTCATGCTACACTTGCTGTGCATTTTTGTTGCACAGACACCTGCATCCCTAGCGGCCTAGTGGGCGTAACAGCATAGTTAATATGGAGACTTAGGTGAGCTGCACTTCTCGAGATGACCCGCAGCCAGCAGAGTCTCTTTCAGATTTCCATATTTATTATCTGTCCTATTTGTATTCTCGAACATTGTTGTATTATTTTATTTCCTAAAGATAGTTCATGCACTTGTGACACCGGGTTCTGGAATGATTATGGGATTGTTTAATATTGAGTTTGTTAAAGACATCAGTATCTATTCAGTAAAACTTATTACTTATTGTTTAATGTACAAAAGGAACGATTTCGAAAATGTTAAAACAAGAAATTTCAAGTAAATTGGTGTTGGCTTGCCTGACAGTAGTGTCCGACGCCATCACGACCCTTAGTGGATTTTGGGTCGTGACAACATGGTATCAGAGCACTAGGTTCCCTTAGGTCTAACGAGTCATGAGCAAGTCTAGTAGAGTCTCGCGGATCGGTACGGAGATGTCCGTACTTATCTTCGGGAGGCTACAGGGCTGTTAGGAGTACTTCCCTTCTTGATTCCTCATCGTACGGTTTGATTCCTTTGAGGTTTATGCCTTTATTTCCTTCCTATTCAATCTTATGCGACGTGGAGCGCTTATTATAAATCAAGAATTGGGAAATTTTAAAGGTACTACAGATGTGGTGCGGGATGCTTCTCCTGGAATAGTTGATTTGACTATTGTAGTCGCTTTGTGGAAGGATATTCTGCCATTTCAGCTAAGTAGTCGTACTTCTGAGAGCTCTGAGGCTAGGCACCAGTTGCCATGATGCTTATGAATGGTTGTCACGCAGTATTGATGTGATGGCAGGATGCTTGCCTACGTGTTGGGGCAGTGAATGACTTGAAGGGAGGTTTACTCAGTGCATGATTTAGAGATTCGGTATTTTATTCCCGGCGGGGGAAAGGCAATCGGGATAAGAATGTTCAGATTTGGGTTGATGGAGTAATGAGGCTTGGTATTTGCGAGCGTGGTGGAATTTTCAT